CAAACGTTTGTTTGTCCGTATTGAAGTCTGTGAGCCCAGAAAATATAAATTTCACACTGTTGATCTTATTTTTTTATTAATCCCTAAACATATTTTGTAAATGTTCTTACACAATTTTTTTTCATATTTTTTCGAATAATTCGAAAACTGTAAATTTTTCACGTAAAACGTTTGAAATAAGCTTACATTCAAATTTTACGATAAATCCGAAAAGCGCAAAAAAATGGCGGGGTTCGATTTAAAAATCCATAGTTTGTAACTACCACACGTTTATTACGCACCCCGTATATTGAAAAGTAATTTTAAAATGTGCACCGTTTAAACATCAAAAACTTTCGCAGGAAGTATTTTCTCCTAAAGGTCAGATTTACTGAGATATCCGACTTCGACGCACTAATGAGCAACCCTGTATACCCCGGAACAACGCAAAAGACCCTCGACCTATTTCTTCCGTTGCTCGTGTTAAACTGTGTATTTAGCTACCTTTTTGAAAAAATTCATACGATATTGAGGTTTTTACCACATTCCGAAGGCACCGAACTACAGAACTAGCATGGTGATATAATCATGTGCTTAATCGGCCCTTCGATGACTCATTGCTTTACTTTGCTGGTCGATTTAAGTTTTTTGTTGTTGACAATGTTGTAGAAAGTTCCAGTTTATACACCGAATCAATTTCAAAGGCACGTTTCGCAATCTAACTTGTTTGGATTAACGTAAACAAAACAACTTTCTGCGCCAAAGATATCCGATTATGAGGCGCATTAGACTTTAATGCAAAATTAAATGCTAGGATCAGTCTTTTGTTAAACTTAGAACCTTTAAATCTTCAGATGTCAGATCTATTCGTACTCGTACATGCAAACCATGCCCTTATTTGTGAAACTTTTTTTCCTTGCACCATTAAATGCGAAGAATATTTAACTTGACTTTAACTTAACTCTTCGCGCCTGAGGCCTGAGGCTTGGGACGCTCATATGCACTTTGAATTCGACATTTTTTTCTTAGTGCGGGTGCATCTTTAGATTTGATAAACTTTTCAAATACACATTGCGTTATTAAACTGACAGTGATTTTGATTTATCAATTATTGAGTGTGATATTATTGTGTTCGATGCAGTTTATTTTATAACGCTGATAACAATGAATCAACAAATTATCAAGGGAGAAGCTGCAGATACTGTAAACACTAGGTTAAGGGTGCTCATGTACTAAATGCCTGTTCGAGTTTCGCCTACTCTTCAATTTCCAATTAAATTACACAGACAATTATACACACTAAAGCAGTTTAAAGGCAAAAAAATGCGGATCGTCCATCAATTTGCAGAAAAATGTATTACAAACTTTTGAAAATCATCTTCAAACGACCGGGTATTTATCATTGCAAATGAGAT